GGCCATGGCGTGCAGCCGGGGCAGTACCCTGGGTCGCGCCCACCGTACGTGCCGCCGCAGCAGGCCGCCTACGGCTACGCGCCGGCAGCCGCCGCGCAGCGGCAGCCCGGCATGCGGCCGGCGTACGTGCCGCCCCAGCAGCAGCATTACATGCAGCAGCAGCAGCAGTTTGCGCCGCGGCCAGCGGCGTATGCGCCGACCGGGTACGGCGCGCCGCAGGCGCAGCAGCAGCAGTACGGGTATGCGCCACATCAGCAGCAGCAGCAGCAGTTCGGAGCCGGCCGCGGCGGCGGCGGGAGCTTCTACGACCAGATGCGTCCGCAGCAGCAGCAGCAGGCGGCGCACGGCGGCTTCGGCGCCCCCGCGCGGCCGTGGCTGGCGCCGCAGCAGCAGCAGCAGCCATATGGCGGCGGCGGCGGCGGGGGCCGGGGGGCATACCACGCCAATCCCTATTCCGCGCTGCAGCCCGGGCAGTACGCGCAGCAGGCGCCGCCCCAGCAGCAGTACGGCGGCGGGCGCGGGCGCGGGCGCGGGGGACGGTATTAAGCGGGCGCCGGTGCGGGGATGTCTGCACCTCCCCGCATGGCGGAGCGGCTGTCGCGTCCTGCACAGTCCGCTCGTTTACGACCAGCCCGGAGTTCTTGCTTCTAATGACACCACCGGCGCCGCCAATCGCGCGGCCAAGTGACCGGTTGCCACGAATCCGCGCTGAGATCCCTGCGGATTCGTCGATCTGACGGGCTTGGGTTTCCACCTGCGCGTCTGTGGCTTTTTTTGGTCTGTTGGCGGCAGCACGAGGGGCGTGCGGCATGCCGCGCTTGTAACAGCCACTGGACGGCCCCTATAACAGCCCTTAAGAACACCCATCCTTAGAGTCATCGGCGCTCGCATGGCGTGCTGAAGGATTACACAACGCCGCGCAGAAGCTGTGGGGGCAAAAGCACAGGCCGGCGACGAACGGTGCCGGCCGTGCACGCTGTACGTGTTTTGTGAACGCTGCCAAAACCAGAGGGACAGTACATGCAGGAAGGAGGCAACAGGAAAAAGACACCCCACTCTGAAATCACCGTCAGGAACGGGAGGCGCACCGCCGCTGGGTGTTCACAGTTGTGAACGCCATTCTAGGCGCACCCAACCACCTCTGCCACTGACGCCGGCGCGAACCCTGCAGGGCACAAACCGCTGCGCCGCGCGCGGCCGCGGCACCCTGCAGCCCCCGCCGCACCTCGGCCTCGTGCCCAGGCGTCCGCCTGCCGTCCCGCCGAACAATGACGTCATCCTTGCGTCACTCGGCCATGTCGGCGACGCCGCCGCCGCTGCGCAGCTTGGGCCCGTTGTCGGGCTTCCCCATGCCAGCAGCAACCTCCGCGTCCAGCTGTAGCAAAGGGAAAATTTGAATGGAAATCTGAAGTCAGCCACAAGGGCGCGAGCGCGGCAACAGCAGCTGCTGCAAGTCGGCATGAGGAGGGCGGCCGCGACGACTCAATGAGCAGATGCCGGCGGGAGCGTGTCCCCCGGTCCAGGCCAGGGAATAGTGCGCACCTGGTTGTGGGGCCGCGGCGCCGCCAGCAGCATTTTGGCGCGCCGCCGATGGGGCTTGGTCTTTTCGTGGGTGCCCAATGCCAGTGCGTTTGCGAAATACCGGCTGCAATTGTGTGGGAGCGTGGTGCGGGACCGGCGGCGCAGCAGGGGTGGCAGGGTCAGGTGTGTGGTGAGGGCCTGAGGGGTTCAAGCCGAACCACAGCGCGGCAAACAGCGAGTGCGTCAGGGCGGCGCCGCACGCGGGCGGGCGGCAGAGCCGCGGCCCCGAGCGGGGCGGGGGCCGGGCGTGGGGGTGCGCTGCCGCATGGGCACCTGCATGGGATGCAGTAGTGCTGCCCGAGGCCCGGGACGTCCTCGTCATGCTCCGCCCTGCAGGAGTTTAGAGTTGGTTTTTGTTTTTGGAGGTCAGTTTAGCTGTTTTTAGTTGTGGCGCGCAGAGGGGCCGGAGGGCCGATATGAGCGGCGGCGCGAGAGGGCGCGGCCCCGATGCGGGCGGGAGGGGTGGGGCCGGCCCCGACGCGGTCGGTTGCGGCACGGCGCGGCGCACGCATGCGCAGCGGCAGGAGCTGCGTGCACGCGCGCGGGCCGCGGACACGAGGGGTCCCCGCTGCGCCGGCGCGGCGAGCGTGCGCCGTCGTGCGTCGCGTGGCCTGCTCGTGCCGCCCGCCACGTCCCAAGCCGCCCGGCTTCCTGTTGCTCTGTTGCTTCACCCAGACAGAAATCAAGCCTGGCCACTCACACGCTTGTCGTGCCCTGGGGACCCGTCTTGCTGCTGTGCACCAGCGTCGGCGGCTTGCGCACGTCCTCCCAGACCTGGTCGATGTGCCGCTCCGCAAACTTTTTGCGGACTCCCGTTTTTGTGAATTTGCGGCAGTTGCCGCTGTTTACTTTGCGCTTACAAGGGCCGTTCCCCATCGCTGCTGCTGCTGTGCTGCGCGCTGGTGAAGCGGGTGCTCCTGCCTGATGTTCTCGCTGTCGCCTTCGCTGCGCTGGCCTGCACGCAGCTTAAATCGACGAATATGCTCTCTTCGCTGCGACCTGCCACTTCACTGCTGATATATCTTTCGCTTGTACTGTGGCGAGCAGCCGTAAAGCTGTGTGTGCGGCAATAGCAGGATGTACTCCTTGAAAAATGTGTATGTGCGCAAGACAGCGGTACTGGGTCAGAGAACCGCAGACACTGGCCTGGCTCCGGTGCTCGCCGTCCCATGTGCATGCTGCTCGACTGATTGGCTCCCAGTGCGTCCTTGCCAGGACTGAGTCTATGCATAGGACAAGCGCTGGTGCGTCCTTCGTGCAGTGTCACTTGTACTTGCTGCAAGACGCGCATACATATGGAAGGAAACCCGGACGGCTTTCCTTGACAGTGAGTGCACATGAGGGAGGGGTCATGAGGTTCACAGGTGCAGCCCATGCACCGCACCATATATGGCCTGCAACTCATGAACAACTCAAACACTGATTGCGGCAGCCTGCACGTGCTGCCCTCTCCGCGGCGGCGTGCCTGCGCTGACGGGAAAGCCGGGACAAATGCTGGGGATTATGGGCGTGTGCGAGCCCGGATTTTCCCAGTCACCGGTCCGCTGCTCCCATCATCCTCCTGATCGAGCCCCCACACATTGACAACGGCCTCGCTTGGCCCCTTGAATCAACTCATGGGTGTGCAAGTGGGGGCCGCAAAGCGGCCGTGCCAGGTCCTGCTTCATGCCGGTGCCAGGAACCGCATGATGACTGCTGCAATTGCCCAGTCGTTGACAAGGACAAGGAGGACAGCGGCTTGCGCTCAGGGTTACCAGCACCGGAGTACTTGCTGTTTACGCATGTGAAAACCATCTTTATCACCGCGAGCCGAATGGCGGTCACCTCCATTTGATCAGCGTTCGCTGTTCCCCAACCCTGTCGCCAACGGTGTCGCCTTGAAGCCGTGCTGCATCATTTATTTGTTTGTATCCGGTTTATGAAGGGCAAGGACGCCCGTAGGTGGACAGCGGCGGGCCAGCAGACATACGAACTGGGTGGACCGTCCGAGGCCAAGACGAGGTCCGGCGTGCAAGATCAGACGCACAAGTTCGGCTTGACACAGACGTGCTGTGCAGGGGCGGCCTGACGGGGCACTAGCGCACCGCTCAAGGGGGGTCGGCGCCTGACTGTATCAAATCACCGCCAATCACATGATCAGCGGTTTGTGCGCGCCGCCCACCCCGATCGCAACTGTGCAGGAGTAACACACTGTGTGACAACATCGTCACGGACACCTAGGCGATCGGCCACAGTAATCGCAACCGAAACTGTCGCGGCGTGCGCTTGGGCCAGCGCCCGCACGGCCTCTCAAGAGAGAGCGCGCGCGCGCGCGCGCGCAGCCAGCAACCACGGCGGCAGCGGTCGCCAGCGCGCCCGCCCACATGATGGGCGGCGACGCGCCGGGCGGCCTGGCCCTCAGGCTGGGCGCGCCGGGGGGCGGCAGCATGGGGGTCGGGCGCGGCCCGCCCACATTCTTCCATAGTGGGGACGTGCTACTCAGCGGACTCGACAGCAGCAGCCGCGGCAGCCCAGGCTCGGGCGGCAGCAGCGCGCCGGACACACAGTTTGTCGTCGCGCCGCACCCGGGCACCGCCGCGCCCGCCGCCGGCGCCGGCCAGCAGGCGCGGCACGCGCAGGCGAGCCGCGTCGCGGCGCGCGCGCTGGACAGCCTGTCCGGCTCGCCGGCGCCATCCCCGCCCGGCCGCGCGCCGCCGCAGCTGCACCTCGTGCCCAGCCACGGCGCCGCAGCCGCTGCCGCCGGCCCCGCCCGCATGCGCCAGCCCGGCCCCGGCCCCGGCCCCGGTCCTGCGTGTGAGGCGCAGCACGCCGCCGCCGCAGCCGCCGGCACCGCGGAGGGGGACCCGCCGCTCGTGCTCGAGCTGGGCGTGTCCCTGGCCGCCCTGGAGCGCCTGTTCACCGCGGAGGGGCGCCACGACTTTGAGCAGCCTGTGTGGATGGTCGTCAACCTGCAGGTCAGCTCGGCCGCGGCGGCCCAGCTTTCCGAGGGCTGCTGTCAGTCGCCTGATCGCCTTGTGCAAGCACCAGGGGATCCGAGCGCCGCCCCGCGCTTGCGGCGGTAGACGCGCACAGGGCCCTTGTCGGGTCTATGATTGCTGGGATCTGAGCATGCCGGATCTTTTGAACATGCAACAAGGGCCAAGGGGGCGTCCCGCGCCTGTTCGCATCGCCTCGCCGCCTGACAAGCTCCTCCGCGCCCGCGCTGCGCGCCGCCGCCGCCGTTTGCAGGGCAAGATCAAGGGCAGCTACACCTCGGACAAGATGCTGGAGTTTTCCAAAAGAGGCACCCTCAGCGCGCGCCAGCTGGTTCTCGGCATTGACAGGGACCTGCCCTACGTCCTCCGCCAGGTCAGCGCGCGCGCGCACAACCGCCGCGCGAGCCCCCGTTTGCCCTGCGCGCGCCTGCGTGCGCGTGTCCTTGCGCACTGTGCGGTGCCATGCTTCCAGCACCGCCCGCGGCGTCGAGAGCGGGCGCGTGTACAGGTTCGTCAAGGCGAGCGCGGGCCCGGCTGCGTCCTCTTGAGGCTGAGCGCGAGCCTGGCGGCACGTGCGCGTGCGCGTTCCCCGCCGCCGCCGCCGCGTTTGCGCAGGACCTGGGGTTCTACCGCACCCTGGGGCGCCTGGCCGTGGACGTGCACCGCGGCGGCCGCTACGTGCCGCTCTCCGCCGCCCGCGCGCGCGGCGCGCCCGCCTGGGCGCCTGTCGTGCCGCGCGGGCCGCTGGACAGCGGCGAAGACGCCGCGGCCGCGGGCGCGGGCGCGGCCGGCGCGATGGGGCGCTTGGCGCTTACCGACGACAGCGGCGGCGGCGGCGCGCCGGCGGGCGGGGTGGCGGCAAACGCGGCGCTGCGCGTCTCGCTGCAGCGGCTGTTTGCACCGACGGGGCCGGGGGCGCGGCGGCAGCCCATGTGGCTGTACCTCAACCACCTCGGTAAGCTCTAGTTGGAGGTGCTGATCCGACACCGACTGATCTGATCTGATAGGATATATGCTGTGATCTGATCTGCAGCAAGTACTGACGGCGTGCGTGCGCCTGCGGCCCCTGCGGGCGACCAGGGGGTCGCGCGCCTCCTGACGGCCATGAGCGCGCCCCTGCTCCCGCCAACAAGCAACAAGCGCTCCGCCCTCTTGCCCACTTCTCATGCACGAAAATCGATGCATGCTGCAGGCTGGTGCCGTGGGTGAGTTGGCGCGCCCGCGCTCGAACCTCCGCGCGCGTGCTCTCGGCCGCCGCTGTGTCCTCTGCAACCCCCTGCGTGGACGCGCGCACGCCCACGCCGCGCCTGCGCGCCCCTGCTGACCCCCTCTTTCCCTCGCTCCCCGCCCCGCAGCCCCTTCTCTGGCGGCAAGCTCATGCATGCACACCTGTGCGGCCGGCTGCCGCGCGACACCCTGGTGGTGGGGTATGACCCTGGTGTTCCCGTGTTCATGCTCAGCGGCGAGGTGGCCACCTGGTTCAGGTGCGCGGCGACGCTGATGTAAACACGGCCGCCCAGAGGGCGGCTGCCGCGGCGCGGCGCGCATGCCGGGACTGCGTCTGCATGCATGGGGGGCGCGTGTAGGCGCCGCTTTCATGACGAGGCGCTCTGACAGTCTGACCGCGCGGACCGACTCGGACACCGCCAGGCCGCTGGGCGCTCTGCTCGACAACGTCGCCCGGGGCTACCTCTACAACCCAGTCAGCTGGCAGGTGCGCGCATGGCGCTGCGCATGGCGCCGCGCATGGCGCAGCAAGCACGCATGGGGCCTGCAAGCGCCCGGCCGCAGATGCCGCATGCGGATGCGCGCGCATGCGAACTCGCATGCCCCCATGGCGCATGCACGCATGGCTTGAGCCCGCGTTGCCCGCCTTGCGCAGCCCCATGCGGGTCACAACTGAGTCCATGCCCCTCTTGTCACACACCAGACCCTCATGGAGCTGGCCCACGGGGCACCCAACAGCAGCGCCCCCTGGCGCCCACTTGTTTGGGCCTCCGGCGGCGAGCCCGCGCCGCTGCTCAACGCCGAGCAGCTGGCCGCGCCGCCCGTGGCGGGCCCGGCGCGCGGCGCCGGCGGCCGTGCTGGGGCTGGGGCTGGGGCTGGGGCTGGAGGGGCGAGCAGTGGGCTGGCTGCGGCCATGGGACTGCAGCTGCAGCAGCAGCAGCAGCAGCAGCAGCAGCAGCAGCAGCAGGTGATCATCGTGAGCAATGGCATGGCGCCGGCGGCGCCTGGCATGCAGCAGCTGCAGCACCACCAGCAGCACCAAGAGCTGCTGCCACGACCAGGGCAGCGGCAGGGGACGGTGGACCCCTTTGGGGCTGCCCCATACAATCACCACCAGCAGCAACACACCCACCACCAACAGCAGCACCAGCAGCACCAGCTGCAACAGCACCAGCAGCACCAGCATCAGCTGCAGCACCAGCACCAGCAGCAGCAGGTGTCCTTTCAGGCACAGGTGCAGCAGCAATACACATTCGTGGCGCAGCCACAGCAGCAGCCCCGTCAGCACCACCAACCGGAGCCGCATCACTCACAACAACAGCACTTCCCACACCAGCAATTCCTTCCACAGCAGCAATACCTCTCGCAGCAGCAGCAGCAGCAGCAGCAGCAGCAGCAGCAGCAGCAGCTTCAAGGTGGTGCTTTCATGCCGCACTACCACTTTCCTGCAAATGGCGAGGCGTCTCACAACGGCGGGCTTGGCGAGCCGGCCCCGGCTCCTGCCGCCCCACACCCACAGCTGCTTCCGCAGGCGTCGTCCGCAGCTGCCGATGCCACTGCTCCGCAGCAGCTGCAGCTGCCGATGTACCGCCTGCAGCAGCTGCATTCGCAGCCTGCGGGTGGCGCCGCTGCGGCAGGGGCTCTGCTAGCGGTGCAGGCGGACGGCTCTCCCGTGATGGGCGGTGGCATGGCGTCCCTGCAGCTCTTCCCAGACGCTCATCCCATGGTTTCCCAAGCCGCCAGCTCGGCGGGCATGCTCACGCTGCACTTTGACGACCCCGCCGCGCGCTCTATGTTTGGCGGCACCAGCGCGCCGTTGCTGGCTGCGCCTGCACACCTGCGGGTGTCCGCGGCGCAGCTGCCAGTTGGTGGAAGGCTCGCAAGTATTGGGGGTGCACCATGGTTTGGCACCCCCTACCAGTGACCCCCCATTATGCGCGCGCGTGCACACAAACACATACACACACACACACATACACACACATACGCATGTGCACACACCATCAAGATAAAGTCCGGCAAGGTGCGCACCATTGGAGGCTGCGGCCGCAAACCCATGCACGCTCCCCTGCGTTTCTTCTCTTTGCACCCCCAGTGATCGAATTTCCCACTGTGGTGATGTGTATCAGCCTCCCATCCTCTCAAACCCATGAATCCAGTCAGAATTGTCACTGTTCCCCTGACTCTCTCTCTCCCACATGGCCCTCTGTTTCCGCTTGGTGCACGGGATTCAACCACTTGGAGTCGGGCCCTTGCAGCCAGACGTGCGATTGCCTTATACACCTTGTTGCTCCAGCACTCCAAACATGCTCTAGGGTTGCTTGGGCTGCTTTGCTCCTGCATGGGATGCCAGGGCTAAGCAATGCCATTGCCTGTGTGTGCACACGGGATTGAAGATGCCTAGTTGGAACGGTGGGTTTGCCGCTGTTGCCCACTGCTTCGGCGGGGCTCCAGGGCGGGGAGGCCGTGTACGGCCTGCGTTGTGCACACTAGCACACTCATATGAATCGCGGCGAGGGGTCTGCAGGGTGGCGTGTGCGCATCGACCGGTGATTCTTGCTCGGGGCACATGGTCCCCGGCCAGGCTGACGTCGTGCAGCCCCGCATCCCTTCGCTCGGAGCCTCTGGATCTTGCGCGGCGCGACGAGGGCCCAACGCTACGCATGACAGGCGCGCCATCAACCTAAGTTACCGGACCCAAACCCCAGCTTGATTGCGAGTCGTACCTTGCTGCATCATTTTGCCTGGCTTTCTATTTGCCGCGCCACGCTGCGCCGCTGGGCGGAGTGCGGAGGGCCCGCCGCGCGCGCGCGTGCCCCGAGGGCGGCGGCCCGAGACGTGTCGCGCGGCGGCGGCGGCGGCGGCGCGCCGCGCTCGCGTGCTTTGAGGGCGTGCGGCCTTGCCGAGCTCCTTGGACGCGACGTGGTCGTGGCGCGCACGCGCGTGGCCAACCCCGCCTAAGCATGGTTATATTGGTGCATGTCAGCCCAGGCTTTCGACTCGGGTGCTCATGCCTGGTGGGCCAAGTCCGGGTCAACTGCCTCACTACCACGGGTGCACTCTTCCAGGCACGCCTTTTCGCAGCATCCCCTGCGCTGCTCGTTGCACTGTTGCGGCCAGGCGGGGCCGGCGGGCCCCCTCTTTGCTGCGCCATGGGACCAGGGCGATGTAGGTGGTCCCAACTAAGCACCCTGCACTCCCCCATTCGCTCCGCCCCGTCGCGCGGACGTCATTTACGGCAGCTGCACCCATCAGAGCCAGTGCGCGCTGAGCGCCGTGTGGCGGTCGTGCCTCCGATGTTGCAGTGGCTGGCGGACTGTTTCACCTTTTCGCTTCGATCAACGCGCGTTTCCGAGGAGGCGGTTGGCTCAACGAGTCAACCCTTTTTTCATCCCTACTGATCCACATCTGTCGTGGCTCCTCTACCCCGACCAGTTGCTCATACACTTCAACCGCGGCACGCTCAGCGCTGCACGGGCAACCGCACCGTCCATCAAGGAGGGACCTGGGAGCTTGCTGGCACAAAACAGCAGCCACGACTATGCATGCATCCCAAGCCCAGCCCTCAGCCCCTCTGTGGGCTGCGATTGGCAGGGCGCAGTCAGGCGGGCAAGTTCTCACAACTGTACTCCTGGCGACTCACACGCACTCTGCCTCATTCCTGTGTGAGCACATGCGCACAGCTTTTTCGATTAATGTGCTGCCGGTGCAATATGCGTCCGCGGCCGCCGCTGTCCGCCCGCGGTGTTGTGCGTTGCACCCGGTTGTGCCTTGAGCCGTCCAACGCGGCCACACATTGAATTGCGGCGCGCAATCCCGCGTGTGGAGGGCGCGCGCCGGTGCGTGGGGTCGCGAGGTTCGCATCGGAGCGGCTGGCCGATTGCACGTTGCGACGTTCGTTAACACGTGTCGAGGAGATTGGCAGCACGCCGTTCAACAGCTTCACCCAAGTTGCCGCGTGTTCCATCTGTTGGCTTGCAAGAAATTCCTACAGGTTGACGTGAGCCCTAAGCCAAACCCCACTTGCCTTACGTTACTTAATTGCATCGTCGCACCATCACCCGCATGGCTGGGCAGCTCTTTCGAACACAGCACGGACTTTGGGTGCTCCCTCAAGGGCAAGTGTGAGTCGCTTCCGTTGCCTGCGCAGGCGCGGCCAGGAACCCGTGCGGGCCCACACGCCGGACTGCATTCACCCAGCCATGCAGCAGAACAACATAGGCTTGCATCCGTCCTTCTGACTACATTGCTGAGATCATCGCATAGCGGTTACACTCTGTAAAACCATTCTGGCTTGGAGAAACCCCGCCGCGCCGAGACAGTGGTGCCCGCGTGGCGTACCAGAGGGACATGGTGCCGACTGGCATGGCACCAGGCGGCGTCTGTCAGCTTTTGAATGCTTCGAGTGACTGCACCTGCAGATGGGTTGGCGTGGACAGGCAATGCTGGCATTGCCCAACCTCAATGATATCTCCACGCGAGGAGCGCCTTGACCCGCGCTGCGCAACATTTTACGGCTGTTTGGTGGCGTGCAGGCAAGGGGACAGGGCGTCGCCCTTCTCAGGGAAACTTGCAAATTTGCCTGCTGTTCCTGGGCTTGATCACAGCCTTGTTTGCTTCGTGCCGTCCCCCAAACACACACGCACACGCACACGCTCGCACACGACACACACACACGCTCGCACACGACACACACACACACACGCTCGCACACGACACACACACACACACACACACACACACACACACACACACACACACACACACACACACACACACACACA